TGACATTACAACCGTTTCTCCTCTGTCATCTACCACTTCGTGTAGGAGGCAAGCTTCAGCTGTTTGACGACACTGAGGAGGTGAAGCATCCTTTGTTGCTTCTTGCTGATTAACGGTTCATCCATCTCTTAGTTGACGCAGCACACGAACGTCTGTTGCGTGGTGTAATTCAGCACAATATGCTGGCGTAAGTCGAAGCGTCGGTTAAAGGCCGTCCGCTCACGTACTCAGAGGTCATATCAACAGACACAATCCTACTTCTTAGTCGGCAGTCGCCCCCACAAAACTAAAATATCTTGCTCCCAGTGTCGCTGCTTCCGACCTTCGAAAATGAGCGGGGCATCAGGCACATCTGCTGCAGAACATGTGGAAGCGGCTAAGGGAGGCTGATGTCTGTTGTTTCTGTATGCTGCTCACTATATAGAAAGCCCATGCCGTCTTCTAGCACAGAGCTCCACGACATTGTCCTGGTAGACATTGCCTCGCACGTGAAAGACGGGGCTGAGTGGTTAAGGCTTTTGCGGGAATCGACGGTACTGCACGTTTCTTCTTGATATCACTGACGAACTGTCAGTAAGTGCAACGTCCTGTGCAGCGACTCTACCTCCTGGAGATGAACTGGAGTAACGCGGCCGCGGGAGTGTCATAAAAGCCGAGTAAAACGATGCGGCACAGGGCGCGTGCGACGCATGCTTAGGACAGAGCCGCTAAAGGAAAGGAAAGAAGAAGTTGCGTTTATTCAATAAACCATTACTAAGCGCATGTCAGTCTCTGTCTTCTATAGGGGCGACAAGAAAAACACCTTTACTTTGCTTTGCTTTACTTACTATGACTGATCAGCGACATAGTGAGCTTGCCTGGAGCGTCATCATGCCTAGTGCAATTATAGTGTGCTTTTTCGTTCTCTTTGGTAGCTCCGCCACACTAAACAGTGCATTAATTTTGAAGTATAGTGTGTTTACAGCATATGTGAATCTCTTGCAGAGGCATCCCACTTCCAAGGGCTCTAATATAAAAGGCGCATATCTACCGCAACGAAAAAAAAAAAAAGCGTACCGTATTTACTCAAACTTAGGCCAACCCTGATTCTAAGCCGACCACCAAAAATTGTGAAGACCGAAAAAAAAAAAGAAAATACTTACCTCGAATCTAGGCAGAACGAAACACCGACGACAGTGTTCATAAAGAAAAAACATATATTGAACATGAATATGAAACAAAGCAGTCGGTTCATAATGCAAATAACTCGAGAAACATACAGCCGCTAGTCCTGTTGTGTATGTTTCTTTGTCGCCGTTTTTTTCACCCAGGCTTCTAGTTATTTGCACCATAAAGATGTCGCACTTGTCAAGGCCACCCTGATTCCGAGACGTCGCTGCTTCTCTCGTTGCTGTCTTCAACCAGTGCACAATCCTTGGGGCCACAAAGCGCATTGAATATGTCGCACTTCTTAAAAGAGCGCACAATCAAAGTTCCTTAGATGTCGTCCCACGCTGCAGTCCCTCCAACAACGGCCATTTTTTCTTTTCACTGCAAGGTCCCGTCCGGTTTGAACTTATACGACGACTCCGCGGCTAGGACAACTTTCCGCTTATAAGCGGCACTATAATTACACCGCCTGTTTGGTGTCATTGAGCTATACCACGCACAGACCACTTGAAGCGCGACTCGAAATGACAAACCGCTCGCCTCAACACTCGCCAAAGATTCAAAAAAATGGTGGCCTCACATGTGTCTTATGGTGGCTTGAAAGGGGTAGTGAGACGAATGCTGCATTCACGCCGTGGAGAGGGGTGCGTGAAATGCAGTGAAAGTTCTTGTCACCGCAAGGGGCGTTGGCGTAGTAAAAGGTGCTCGCCATGCATGCTTGGGCTCAGTTTGTTCTTGCTGTGCTGTGCCGTTGCCTCGCTCGGATGCTTCGCCTTTACCGTTGTTTGTCTGGCCATGTCTTCTGGCCATGCCAGTTAGGTACATGTGAACCGGACAAAGGAGCAAGGACAAACAGAAAAGTGTCTTGATATTTTTCAGCAATATTGAAGTAGTAATGACCATGTGAATCCCACACAGTTTCTAGTGACTGTAAATTGCTTATCTTTTTATAATCTTGCGAGACGACCTGTGAGTGGAAACTACCTGGGAAGCTTGTAAAAGTTCTCCTTAACACAATTCGTCGCCAGCCTCAAGTGATTACATTTTCAGCATGCGAGACATCATAGAAGACGTGTTGACAGTTGGAAATGTTGACATCGTTAGATCTTTTTGTGGTGATCACAGTAGTTATATCGTTCAGAAAAGTGACAGCTGTCTCAATTATTTTGATGCTGGCTATGTTATTATATAGTTTGAAAAAAAAAAAAAAAGCTCTTGTAGTGAGTGCATTTATGCTCTTGCCACCAAGAAATTCAGAGCTATTGTCACAACAAACAATGAGTTGGTGAATGCATTTGGCAGGGGAGGCTTACTCTATCCTTGTGAAAATCAGGCCAGGCTGGGGAAAACTTTGGAGTGTGTGTTTACTTTTTTTTTCTGCTGAAAACTTTTGCACTCATTCAGCGTACATGATTTCAGGAAGTTCTTGGCAGAAATCAATCTGGATAGAGTTGGCTGCGAAATACACAGCAAAAAACTGACTGCTAGTGTAGTCCAGTTTTTTCTTCTGAGGGCAGCATCACTGTGCGACCACCTGTGAAACGTGCACTGTGTGTGCGGTGTGTTATGTGCAATGTGTATTTCCTCCTCTTTCTTCTAAATTTCATTCCCCTCTCCCCTATGTAGGGTAGCAAAATGGACTTAGTCTAGTTAACCACTCTGATATACTCACACGTATGCACTTCTGAGCAATATCTTTAAACAAAGATACGAGTGTTTAAATGAAGGATAAGTATGTAAAAACATATGTGTGTCAGAAGTATGTGATCACAAATGTCATAAACAAACATGTTGTACCATATTTCTCTTGCGTGTATTTAAGTTCTAAGGCCAAAAAAATACGTCCCCATCTCTTCTTCAGGTTTTTCAAGGAAAAGGTGCGAGAAAAATGCAAATGATTTGAATATTTTATCCTGGAGACAACACAATCCCTTAGAAGTACGAAAAAATGAAGCTGAGCACGGGGGGGGGGAATCAGGGGGACAGAACAAAAAAAAGCAGAACACTTCAGCCATGTAGACTCGCTTCAGAAACTGTAAAGCGTTTACATTTCACCTTGAGAGACCACACTCTAAAGTAAGTTTAGCTATACATGAGAGCCATACAACGTAAATGTAGTGCGAAAGAACGCGCACAAGAAAGGGTACACCACAAGCGCTTACTCACAACTAAAAGCTTTAATGCTTGAACCGAACATATATAACACTTACACTAGGTGCCCAACAGAATCCTGGGCATGCGCATTGTTCTGCTAATAACAAGCTAGGTAGACTATGTTCAGTGATTGGCAACAAAGACAGGGACGCGCAGGTTGCTCCATAAACCACAAGGTTAGATCAATGTCGTGTAGGGCCAACGTCGTCTAATGCATCTCTCTGTTTGTGTGGTCGAGTCTACATGGGCCAGACAAACTGATGTTTAAACCTTCGTCTTAGGGAGCATCAGTCTTCCTTGTAGGGAAGACCCCTAACGCACCTGGCCATGCACTGCGCTGAGTGCCAGTGTAAAGTTCAATTTCCTGCCCCAGAGGTATTGTTTAGACACCACGATCACACGGCACAAGAACTTGTCGAGGCCTTATCGGAAAAAAAAAGTCGTGCTACTCATGGAAAGGTGGTAGACCGGTGGGAAAGGGGTTGCAGGAGGTGTGTTCTTGGTTTGTATTAGTGTCTTTTGTTTCGCCCACGATGCCCATGCGCTGGATTTTGTTGGGCACCTAATGTAAGTGTTATATATGTTCGCTTCAAGCATTAAAGCTCTCAGTTGTGAGTAAGCTCGTGTGGTATACCCATTTTTGCCCGTGTTTTTTCGCGCTACATATATGTTCGCTTCAAGCATTAAAGCTCTCAGTTGTGAGTAAGCTCGTGTGGTATACCCATTTTTGCCCGTGTTTTTTCGCGCTACAGTCACGTTATGTGTTATGAATCAGTACCAACTTGCTCGCCTCTCCGTTTTGCTTTACGAGAGCCAGTATTTTCGCTCAGCTGAAGCATATTAAACACAGTTAATACAGCGCAAAAAGAATGCAGCGCGATTTTAACAAGACAAGACAGGTGCTTCACAGGTCTGTGTGGTACGCCAGTTTTGTCAGAATTTAAAGCATTTCGCGCTATTTCTTTTTTTCAAGTGCTTAACGCTTCTGGAACATCAACACATCCTTCTTGGCAAATTAAACATGTAGTGCCTTGAAATGCTTGGGCGCGGTATGTAAGCGGTTGATTAAAATCAATGAAACTAATTTCTAGCAGCAATGTGCAAAGCAGGCAAATGCCACCACAAGCATTCTGGTGTGGCCGTCATTCATTGGGAAATCGTGCAGCCCTCGGCTCTCGCCCGTCACACTTCCCCCTCTAGCCATTATATTGGTACTTAAGCCAGGTGTGGGCTCGGCTACTAACAGCTACAGTATCATCTAGGGGATGCTAGTTGTGCATCACTTCAATGAAGAAAGGCACGTTTTTTAAAGTCCTCGAGTGTTAGCCGACCGCGGAGTTTGATAGAAAAAAATTTAAAAAAAAACCATTGGCCTAGATTCGAATAAATACGATATTTGAGTATAAATAGGCCCCAGCATGCACTTTAGTCCTCGTACACCTGACATTTCCAAGGAGGTTATATAAAGTCGCGCCAACAGTGCCACCGTTGTGACCCTCGGAGGTGAGTGTCACGGTGTGGAGGAGGAGAGGGCCAGGCTCACCTCTGAATTTCCTCTCTTCGCGCGTTTGGGACGGCCGAAGAGAAACCCGCCTATCTTAGATGCCTTGAGGACAGTAATGGGGAAGGTGTGTTTGTTGTTTCAGAAGTTCGATGTGAGGTTAATCTTTATGAGCTAGGTATTCACGAAAAAGGCCATGCAGTCTGTTCAGGTGGAGCCCGAGGTGCGACCAAGCTGGGGCCCCGAGGCCTCGGACTCGTCGTCCTCTTCCCCCAGTGTTCGAGGTGGCAAGCGCAAGGTGGGTGGCATTACCAGTGTTTGGCTCCTCCTCAGTAATGTCTAACTTTCTTTCTCCGTACTTGAGTTCAGTCTTGACAAATGATGTGACTTTCGTCATGCCTGCTGTCTAATTGAGGAGGCGGCTTTAGTGGTATTTGAACCCGGCTTATAGAATAATCATGTGCTTCAATCGATCAATCACTCAACGAGTTTTATTATTATCACTCAACGAGCTTTATTATTAGACGAGAGTCCCAAAGTTCGTAACTGCAATGGGAGCCTTGGTTATGGTTACAAATGAATAAAACAATTATAAGCAGCAGTCAGAACTGAAAAAACAAAACAAGGAGTACACAACAAATATAAAAAGCAAAACGTCAAGAAACCAAGAACACAGCATATATTGAGTACAGTTCAAAGCACTACAACTCTGGTGCGCTGAAGAAACAAGAAATGCCTAAATGAGAATAAAAAAAAAACGAAAAGACATGAAAGCAAAACACACATCATAAGTTCAATATGTAGCAATACAAATCTGCTACACCTAAAAGAAAAAGAACTTTGTAAGTTTAACAAATATTGCTTCAATGAATTTTTAAATAAAATGAAATAAATTTTAAACTTTAGTGATAAGGGCAAAGAGTTTCATAATGAGATGACACAGAAGTGTGATGATTTATCATAGTTAGTATGAACCTTAGGAAGCAGGAAGTTATTGTTAGCCACAAACCTGGTAATGTTAAGTAAAAGTTTATATTAAATGGAATAGTTAGTATGAACCTTAGGAAGCAGGAAGTTATTGTTAGCCGCAAACCTGCTAATGTTAAGTAAAAGTTCATATTAAATGGAATCGCTAGAAAGATTGTGTTATTGTTTATGAAGACACATAATTAGATTACAACCTAAATAATTGCTAACGGTTAAGATGTTATTACAGTAGAGGAAGTTAGCGATGTTACTGTTGCGAAAAGCTGTTGTGGCATCAATAGCAACAAACACTTCCTAATGCAAGGTAAAAAACTGGGTTGAAAAGCATCAGTCCTTTTAGAAAAACATTGATAGCTTTCAAAGCACATATCTTGCTGTTGCCATTCGCAGATGCCCGTTTGATAGTTATTATTTATTTATTACATACTGCGGAACCTTAGGTCCACGCAGGTGGGCAGTTTCAAGAAGACATAGTTAATATAATAAGTGACATAACAAATTGTTTGGTGTGGGTGTGTCATACAGCCATAGTAACCACAAAAAGTAACATGGAAAATTATTTTGTAGTAACGCATGTACTGAGCAAAAAAAAAAAGAAGAAGCTACAAATCTATGCTTCTTATGTTGTGCAATTACCGTAAGAATAAATACATAATACATACAAAGCAACAAACACAATCATTTTCACTGTGCAAGCCAAGAAAATAATTACATATGCGTACAATAAAAATGGTGCATACAAGAGGGGGAAAAAAGAAAAACGAAAGAAAAAAACTGCAATAAAAAGATCGGAAACCTGGATTTGCAAGACAATGTCATTTTTGGAGCGAAGAAGCAATAGATACCATGAGGATGCTCCAGTTATTTTGTTCTGATCCGAGACCGGGCGTGGTAAGTATGAGTACTTATAAGCGTCTATTCTGCAGAAATTAGGTGTTAGTGATTTAGCATAACAATGCCTTGTGGGTCTTGTTGATAAGAATGTCGGGTATGGTTATGAGTCAATCGCAAGTTTGCAGTTGAAAAGAAGAAAAAGAAGGTCAGTTCTTATCTGTTTTCGATGTGCGCAAAGAAGGGAAATGCTATTAGCTTTCATTACATCAGAAGGAGAGTAAAGTAGCAAGTTGGGCTAGTTGGAACATACTCATCTCGATCGGTGCACAGAAAGGATAAAAAAAGACAAGAAAGTGCACGACACAAGCGCTGTCTAACAACTGAAAGTTTAAAGGAAGAAACACGTGTCATATATATGTGCAAACATGAAGGCATAAAATACCTTGACACCTTCACCAGGCATTAATTAAGTATGCTGTAGATACGTAATTACAGCATCTGTGAGAGTGATTGAAGGTTGGCCCATGCACCTGTCTCCAGCTTTTATGATTTCATATGCTTCAGAAATTTCACTGCGTGCATATATATGACATGTCTGCATGTTTGCGTATATGTGGCACGTTTTTTTTTTTTTTTTTCATAAAACTTTCAATTGTTGGACAGCACTTGTGTCCTGTACTTTCTTGTGCATTTTTGTTCTTTTTTGTGTGCTGATCGAGATGAGCGTTTCGGATGAGCTTGAGTGTTTGTCACTTGCTATGGATATAGTTTGCGTTTCACGGTTCTATACAGTGCTTGCGGAATTTTGTGGGCTACAAGCTATTGGCTAGAGAGCTGTGCAAACAGCAAGATTTTGGATGCAGAGCGAATTCGAATATTGATGTGTGAGTGCAAATCAAATAGAATATTTTTCAAAATAGTCAAACGAAGATGTATATTCAGTCAACTCCTCTTAAACGCAACTCGAAGGGAATCCATAAAACTGTCCCATTTATCAGAAGTTTCATTTAAGCAAAGTACACTTATTTAGTTAATCAAAACCTTTATTCAAATTGCACAAACCTCACCGTACTCATGAGGATGAGTAGGAGAAAAAAAGGAGTGAAGGGTGGTTTGTTTGGCAAGTTTGAGTTGTTTTTTGACAAGGTACGCACCCATGCCTGATAAACTAGCCAGAAATTCTAAACAAGCCTCATGCTCAAAATAGCGCTGCGAAAGTTCAACAGCCTCTTTAGCTGGTCGGTCTGGAGGCACCACTACACTGGCATAATTGTCATCACATTCATCGCTGAAAGGTTGATCCTCTTCTTGCACTTTCGCCAATCATTTCTTCGACAGTCTCCTCACGACAGGTACGAACATTTTCATCAATTGATTCTTAGTCCTGCAGCGTGAAAGGGGCAGAGGGCACGACCTCACTGAATACTGCCTCAATGTTGCCATCAGCAGGGCTTTCTTCTTGATCAGGCACTGCTTCTTGCACTTGAAAGCCAGCATGATGAAAGCATCTGTGTATTGTTGTTGCCTTCATTTGCTCCTAGGCACGAGCCAAAATGTGGATGGCTGCCAATAAACCTATGCTGTAGCATTTCCCGCTGTCTGCACAAAGCAGCATTCGATGAAGCAATTGTCTGCGATAATGAACTTTAATGTTCTGAATAACCCCTTGATCCATAGGCTGGATCACTGCCGTTACATTGGCTGGCAAGAACTCCAGAGTGATGGCTTGGAGTCTTTCTGCCTTGCCTCATAAATCTTACGTCTTCCTCCCGTAGCCAGTTTTTGAAAATGGCCATGGTCATTCACGCTCTTCCGTTCCCATGGTATGCAACGAGAAGGTGTCGAACACCTTTGAAACAATGTGGGTGCATTGATTTTCCTATTACCAACAGCTCATCCCCTGCCATGTTTGCACCCACCAGCACAGTGATGCGATCTTTACTGCTTTTTCCTCGTCTACAGGCTTCGCCTTCGAAGGTGAGAGTTTTTGATGGAAGCGCCTTATAAAAAAGACCCATCTCGTTGACGTAGAAGACGTCTCGTGGCTCAAAGCTCATCAAAATTTTCTTGAAGGAGCACTGACATCAAATTTACTCATTCCAAGATTTTTGCATCAGCGAGTAGCTATAGACGCCGTAGCAGCAATTTGCGACCTAAAACGCCACTGAAGGATGAATAACTGTCACTTTTATTGATTTATATTACTGTGATCTAGTACTATTTAAAAACGGCCCCCAATCCCGCCGTTTTTAGCACTGGGAGCACCAGCAGTAGCGCTACCTCGCGGTCACCTCCAGAACACTCCACAGCTGACCACTTCTCCACAGAAAAGAGTGACGTCAGGTTCAGCTGCTCCGCAAACATTTCGTCTGCTAGGCGGACCCATTCAGTCATGCATTGTCACCTGCTCTGCTGTCGTTGCCGTACAAAGTGTCGGCTCAGGTTCAATACGATAGTCTGGAGCTTGGAATCCCCGCGATTCGCGATGTCACAAATTATTATTGCTTTGATCGACCTTTTTGCATGGTCGACCTTTTGCATGATCGACCTTTTTGCATTTTCATGGCGCTCTCTCGAGCTTTCTGCTCGAGAATTGGTTCGCTTATGGGCAAAATGGAACTCCGGGCAAGCTTGAACCACAGAAAACGAAGTTTTCTAGTTGTTCACAAGCCGTCGTCCGCATCCGTATCTGTTTAGATGTAAAGGTCCCGTTCTTTACAGCGCCTTCAATCGATTCTCTGTCTTTGCAGATCTGCGACAGCGTCAATTTCGGGATGTCGTATTTTTTTGCCACCTCCATGTTGTGCAAGTCGCTTTGGTTGAGCTCTTGGAGAATTCGCAGCTTTTTTTCAAGCGAGAGTGCATGGTGCGGCTGCTTTCTTTCCATCTGGCTGAAATAACACAATGATCCACCGCACTTAGCCGCACAAATAGGCCTAACACACAACTGACTCGCCGACTCAGCTCCCACAGCCACCACAAGTGAAAATGGCTACTGGATTGGCTTGTCTCGAGGTGTTGCCATGATTGTAAGACTACCTTTGGCCTGAACGAGTCTATGCTGTGTTTAGAGTTTGTGCCATATAACCGTAGGTGACCAATAAGCACTGTTTCAATTAACCGATGAATTTTACTGCGCAACACAGAAATCCAGCCATATGAGCCCGTTTAGTTCTGTTAATGAGGCATTTTCGTTTAAGCGAGTTTCGTTTATTGGGAGTCCACTGTTTATATAAGATCCCAGATATAGTGATCTGTCTGTTATAACAACCATATGTTGGGGCACTTCTGATTTTCCTATGCTACTCATTGAAATAGCATCCACATATAGAAAACATTTTTCAAAGCCTGCTACTTTTACAACAAGCACTTCCGGCACCATCGCTTTAAACATATACTGCTTACGAACCAATAAAAAAAGCTAACAGACATTCAAAGCATGTGAGAGGCTGCAGTTTATTTCGCGGCAAAAATATCGTCCATCATGGCGAGCCCTGCATGCAGATTTCAGGTGATGTGAGCGAGGTGCTTCACTCTCGAGGTGTTTTTTCCTTAGCAGAAGAGCAATCGAGGGGGAAAAAAAGAAAAAAAGGGGGAAGCAGCATGAAAACTTGCGGTCAGCTTATGCACAGCAATTTTTTGACGCTGTTCTCTGATCTGGGACCGCCGACAATGAACCAAGCAATGCCTTCAAATGCTGCAAGCTATAAATAGAAGAAACGATAGGTTTTTGTCATATAAAAGTTCACTGCAACGCTCAACTCTTTGGCATCACCAAGTGCTGCAAAAGGTATTCCATCTTTCGGTAACGGCAGAGACCGGTTGATCATAAATGACGGCTTTTACGCTGTTACGGCAGTGCCTTAACAGATCGGCACCAGAAAAGGGTGAAGGCGAGATGGTCAGTGTTGATGAATATGCCATTTTGAATTATCGTCGACTACGCTATCACTGTGATCTGCAGATATCTGCTCAACTGCGGGTGTTTAAACGGCGAGGGAGTGCCAGCGGTACAAATGCTTCATGCTGTCGTTCGCAAGTTCACCGTGCAAGGCCGCTTGCATCTTGCTTGCAGTAGTGATCCAGCTGCGCCATTTGCGCCAATTTGCTACAATTATACCTTCCTGCGCCTTACTGCGCAAGTGTTGTTTTGTTTGTGCCAAATTGCACGAAAGAACCCGACTTTAGCGGATGTTCATTTTGCAGTTGGCAACAAGTTAATTTTTTTCTAGGTTGGCAATTGTTTATCATGTGCTTTGCAGTTTGGGTATTCGTCGGTGTCGTTCGGGTGTTTTCTGTAGGTTTTCCGCGCTCATGCACGCACGTCGTGTCGTTGCATGTGCGCCATGTGCTTGTGAACAACCAAGCATGCGAATGTTTGTCATTCCCCCCGCTGTTGAAATGGACAAAAGTAAGTCGCTTTCTTTTAAATTTTGTGTCATTTCTTAATAGCGCCCGTTAAATACTTTAGTGAATGCTTAGGCGATCACGTACGCTGCTGGCATTTATTACCGGCCGCACTTTGCTATTGAATCAGTACAGAAGTTGCAACTTGGCCTATAGTTCTTCCGATTTCTCGCTACTGATGGTTTATGGTGTTCGGAGTGTACGAGCGCTGTACGTACTTAGGAGCGCCGTGCCTTGTTTCGTGGTGCGAATTCCGCATTAACGCGCAATCGCTCGTACGGCTGCAGCGTTACACTCCTGCAACCGTCGGTTAGTGTCGAAACGAACGCGAGTACCAATACACCGATTTCTGCACGGTCGCTTTTGCTGACGTTACATCCTAATGGGCCTAGGTGCCCCCAAGGATCGGCGCCCCACCGTGCGGCTGCTTTTAAATGTCGCAAAGATTGGAAACCCGCAAATACAGATGCATTTTGTATTCTTTGCAACTGCACCATTTCTTGCGCACAGCATGGAGCGGCAGCAGTGAAGCGTCATGCTGGGATGAAGAAACATATTGATGCAGCTGCTAGACACAGAGACAAGGGCACCAAGCTTACCTCCAAGCATGTGGCACCAAGCTTACTGTCATAAAGTTCGTTTCGCTCATGTTTTCAGATCGCAACACTAAGTTCAACGCCTCTGTACTCAACGAGGTGGACTCCAATAATGATCCGATCAGTCGGTGGTGCAAGAGTGGAACCCGAAATACAGATGCATTTTGTATTCTTTGCAACTGCACCATTTCTTGCGCACAGCATGGAACGGCAGCAGTGAAGCGTCATGCTGGGATGAAGAAACATATTGATGCAGCTGCTAGACACAGAGACAAGGGCGGGAATCTTCTTCCACCCAAATTGGTGCAAGGCACACTGGACTTCTCCAACGGGTCTGCTAATACATCACTTGAGCACCAAGTCAGCAAGGCAGAAACTACTTTTGCTTTGTCTGTTGTGGCCAAGGGAATTCCTTTTTCATGGGGAGACACGGCAACTTCGATTTATCACTGCATGTTCCCCGACAGTGACATTGCCAAAAAGTTTAGTTGCGGCAGAATAAAGTTGAAAGTTGGCCCGCATTGTATCAGATGGACTGGGTCCCTACTTTAAAGGACAAGTGGTGACTGAGCTGTGCCAGCCAAATGTCTATTTTTCCATAATGATTGATGAGACGCCAAAGCCAGAGCTAAGGGTGCAGCAACTAGATGTGCTGGTACGCTATTTTTCCAGCAGCCAACAGGAAGTTGTTGTTGAACATGTCCAGTCATTTGATCTTGGGCGTGCAACCGCTGAAATAATTGTTGGCTGCATAGAAGAAGCAATAGCAGATCTTCCAAAGCAAGGACTTGTTTGCTTTTTTAGTGATGGCCCTAATGTTATGAAGAGCGTAAGAAACAAGCTTCAGAAGCATGTGGCACCAAGTTTGATTGATATTGGCAACTGCAATCTTCATAAGGTTCATAATGCATTTGGCAGAGGCCTGAATGCATTTGGCTTAGATGTAGAAGAAGTAGTGAGAAATATTTACTACTACTTCAAAGGTGCTGTCCGCGCTGAAGCACTCAGAGAATGCCAGGATACCTTGGGAATCTCTTGTCATGTATTTCTGCGCCACGTTTCTAATCGCTGGCTGACGCTACAAGACTCACTTTGCCGAGTTGAGGAACAGTTTGAAGCGCTTCGCACCTATTTTTTTAAGGGCAATTCATCTCGTCAACGACCTGACACCCAAAGCCTACACAACAAGCTTGTGTCGGCATTTTCTGAGAAACAACTTTTGGCCAAAGTGTTGTTTCTTAAGAACTGTGCGCAGCTTTTCAGTGGATTTCAGCTGTTCTTCCAAAAGCAAGAGCCGCTCTTGCACATACTTCACGTTGAACTTATTGTTCTAGTCCAACGAGTCCTCAGTCGGTTTCTTCGTCATGAAGCCTTTGCAGACAAGAGCGCTGAACAACTGAAAAGGCTAGATGTGATGGGTGCATCCCTTTGGAAATCAAGGCCGGAAGTTGGTACAGATACTGAAAAATCAATGCTTGAGTGGGACTCTAGTGAGAAGAAGCGGTTTTATCTTGGAGCACGTGCTTTTTACTTGGCCTGTGCCAAGGATCTTCTTCAGAAGCTTCCACTCGACAATAGAGTTCTTCAATCTGCTAGCCTCCTCAATTGGCAGTCAACAAATGTTGAATCGAAAGTGCGAGCACTGAAGTACCTTGTGTCTCAGCTTCCACAGGTAATCAAACATGAAGAAGTTTCCTCAGCCATCGATGAGTGGCATATGTTAAAGTGTGACTCAAACAGTGACCTCCTGGCACTTGGAGGTGAAAGAATTGATGTTCGTTGGGGCAAAATATTTGAACTGAAGTCTCCTGGAGGTCAACCAAAGTATCCATTATTGTCGAGGCTTGTCAAGTGTCTGCTGTGCCTGCCACATGGCAATGCAGACTGCGAACGAGGATTTAGCGAAAATAAGCGCTTTTATGAGAACCGCTACTCATTATGCATTGCAAGCATTAACGGGTTGCGCCAGACAAAGACATACCTCCGCAGGTATGATGGAGATGCCACTAAAGTTCCCTTGTCTACAGAGCTTCTGCAAAGTGTAAGGAGATCTAGAGCCCGATACACAGAGAGAACTGCAAGTGCACAGCAAAGCAGGAAAAGGCTTGGAGACCAAGACACTGGTGCTGATGTCGACGAAAAGCAACTTCGTAAGAACTTGGAAGAAAAGGTCACCTCAAGTAGGGCATTGCTGAAACGAGCGGAAGACATAATTTCTTCTGGTCTGCGTTCTAAGAGCCTGGAACAAGTTGAAGCTGGGCAAACTTTATTAGCTGAAGGCAACTCCGCTTCGAGCCAAACCCTCTCACAGCTGGAAGAACTAAGCAAGAAGGTGAGCAAGAGGACGTACCGTATTTACACGATTGTAAGACGACTCGAATGTAAGACGACCCCCCATAAATCGCATCGCAAAAAAAAAAAAAAGAACGCGCGCATTTTACACAAGGGAAATTTATTCACGTGGTTGCGGAGGATTATTCATCGTCGCTGGAGTCATCCTCGCTGGTGCTGCTGCCGTCCCACAGCACGTCGTCGTCAAGTGCGAGTCCACACTTCGCGAACGACCGCACCACGGCATCGCGTGAGACGGCCGCCCATGCGGAGAGGACCCACCCGCACACAGTAGCCAGGGAGGCTCTCCTCACACGCCCGCTTGGCGTAAGTTCGCGGCTTCCTGACGAGCGCCGAGTGCCGAGTGTTCGAGCGCCGAGTGTTCGAGCGCCGAGTGTTCTTCGAGCCTACGGCACTCATGTCAGACAGAAGTGACTCGAGAGAGCCGGTCGTGGACACAAGCGACAGGAGCACGCGGCGACGCGCCCGCTTAGAAAATTGTATCACAAAGAGGAGCTCTTCCGTCAACTACCAATACCCCCCCTACGGCGGCTCTTCCATCGATTACCGGTGCTCCCTCAAGAGCCGTGCACTCGTCATAAAGGCACTCATAATGCGCGCAGTAGATGCTAAAAAAAGGAAAGCTTTTGTATAAGCACGCGGAAAACTATGCGCTTTGGGTTGAGCGGGAAGCTATTCGAGATGACAATACATGGTTCGATTTCGATTCTAAGGTACATGGTTTGATTTCGATTCTAAGACGACCCCCCAACATTGGATTGTCAAATTTGAAAAAAAGGGTCGTCTTACAATCGTGTAAATACGGTAAATGCTGCAACATGCACATCTTTCTTCTGTAAATAAATGAAAGTTCAAAACTCTCATTACAGTTCGGTTTCTGGGAATTTTCGTCGTAGCTTTTAGTGTACTTTAATAAACTAATGCTACACCTGCACTACCTTCATTTTCAGTAGTGCATTAAATCTGATGGACTGGTCCATTTCTTGGTGGCTTTTAAAATTGGCATGCACGTGACACTCTAATTAATAATTGAGAATTGAGACAAATACGGTTTTATAGAACTGTGGTTGCTATCACAGCTTTAGTTTCAGCAATAATGAGAGATGTATTTTTGTAAAATAAGTTGCTGCTACAATTGCTGCTCCAAAATCGAGTGCCGATACAAAGGTGTTCCAAAAGAGCATTTTCTCTGCTCCAAAAATTGCTCCAAAAGTTGAAGTGGCTGGATCACCACTGTGCTTGTAAAATGCATGTCCGCATCAAGTAGAAAGAACAGGCTGATCACCCCACCCAACCATGATCCAGAGTGAAGCTTGTACGAAAAACTAGCGGTTGTATAAAAACTTGCAGTTGTATAAAAACTTGCAGTCAGCTTATGCACAGCCGAGTAAGCAACATGCTGCACCCAACTAGTCGGGGATGATTGGTTTCACGTGCCAGTACGCGCTTCAGTGGAACGACGCGGGTTCATTGCAAACTTAGTTTATTAACTCATGCGCACACAGCGGGCTCAGGAGTGAGGCCGCTGTCTGTGTAGTTAGACTTTTTTGCTTAACACGCAAAAAGGCCTAACTTAGCTGATATTTTAGAGTCGTCGCACCCAAGCCATTCCTATGACACGTTGAAGGCAGTTATCATTTCCCGCAAGTCTGAGCCCGAGCACAGCAGACTCTAACAGCTCATTATGGCTACAGAGCTCGGTGACTGTTGCCCATCACAGCTCCTGCGACGCATGCGTCAGCTCCTTGGCGACCCCTCCGCCCCCCAAGAGGACAAGCTGCTACATGAGTTGTTCCTCCAACGCCACGGTGTAGGAAAGAGAGGTGACTCAACGTGGCGGGCGAGCGCGGCAAAACTTGGTTCGGCGCGGATGTGTGCGCACGTAGGTGGCGCTGCGCGAACAAGGGCCATGTACTGCGGGTCTTCAGTTGCCACGGGCATGAAACGCGCCTCGCACTGTTCCGTATACAGCGCGTGCTTGGATTTCGGTGGCATGAATTCAGGGTCGCTTCAAACGAAAATACCGTTTCGAAAGAACCGAGGTTTTTTGGGACGTCTTGAGTTAGTATGTGAATTTTAAGGCCCAAGCGCATGCTCGCTATTTGGGACGCGACAGCGACTGTAGCTTCAACAATTATTCGCGAAGACGCAACCACCTCTGCGAGTAATTTAAACAGAAAGAGGGGCAATTAAATGTTGCGGTGCACCAGTGCTATCCACCACAGTCACGGTGACTTCGGCATACGAAGTAAATTTGAATTTCTCTGAACTGGGGCACACACATGAATCAGATATCTACTTCAGTTTTGCATTGTTACTTTTTTAAACATGTTGTTACAGTTATTCATGCATAATAAGCTTGTACGCACATGTACATGTTTATTGCACTGTTTTACAGAAAAATGAGCCCAACAAGAAACGTTGAGAAAATTGCACACATTCAAACACCAAGCCAAATACTCTGTTTAGGACGCTTGTGCAGTCACTAGTTTTGACAGTTTTCTCAGCTTGTGTGTCTTGTTTTTCTTTTCTTTTCTCTGCCTACAATACTGCCTCATCTGAAGGGCCAGATAATAATGCAAGATTTTAGCAAATACTTCATCTCTGTGGGTGATGCAAGGAAATGAGAGCCAGTTGTTATCTAATATATGATCGATGGTGAGCTCGTAAGCATTCCTTTGCGTGCAATTTCTTTGAAACTTTACTCCTGCTGCACGAAGTAACACAAATATGTTAGTTGTGGGATGAATGAGCTTTCAAAGGGTCTTACAGTTTACGAGGGCTGCTTCAGGCATCTGCGAGTGAGCAACAGGTCTCCCAAGGCCAAGTTTGCACGTTTCGAACGTTGTGCTGTTCCACCAACTACCGGCACACAAACCCTGTAACATAGTAAACTATGTTACAGGGTTTGTACATAGTAACTGTTCATCAAACTAACATAGTAACAGTTCATCAAAAGTTTACAGCGCTGCGAGGGGTGCCGAGGTACAATCATGCAAGAGCATGTCCGAAGCAGTAGCACCACTTTCGGGGGAATCCGCAAGAAAGCATTGAGAAAGCGAGCCACCAAGTTCCTGTCTTTGCTTTCGGTGCTTCTTGAAAGTCTCGTTGACGTCAAGTCTCTCGGCTGGCCTCTTGTTGTTTTTTCTCTTTCAAGAGATAGCTTGGGCAGTTCGGAAAAAACTGGGCACTGCATCTTTGGAGAGAGACGCTTTCCGGGGTGCTCGACACAAAACATTGCCGTTGTAGACCGCTTAGGTTTTGCTCACCAAATGAGGCTCGACGTGCCGTTCGCAGAGGTGGTCTGTTGACTGTAGGATTCGATCCTAGCGTGGAATGGCATTCCTCCACACCAGAAGACGTTCTTCATCTCTCGGTGCAGAAAACAGCGAAAGTTTCTCGGTGCAGGACTTGTACCCTATGTTGCAGCGTGGGGCGAAACACTTCTCCCCATCGCTTTTACATGGTCACATGCACGTCGTAAAAGCTCACAGGGTTAACCAAAACTTTCAAAGATTGCGGATAGTCCACAAAAAAGTGACGTTCGATATGAAAGACGGCCTAGTGTCCGAGCGAACTGAAGTGGCCGCTATCAGTTCGCGACTCGCATGGCCCCGGTACTCCTAGCGCCCTCTAGTAGCGAGAAGGCGAACCCGAACAAGTTCTCCACGGAGATGCTCTGCTGCGCTTCCGAGGCGATCAGTCACCTCCCCTTCCTACACCGTGTCCAGCGCTTACTGCAGAGCATGGACCTGGTCCTCGTAGCTGCAGGAGATGTCCCAGTAGACACACTCGCTGAAATGGCTGACCGAGTGGCGGAGTACTCGCGGGCACATAGCCTCAACGCCGTTACCACACCGGCACCGGCCATTGCTGCAGACCCGGCACTCGCGAGCATCGAGAATCGTTTAGGACGCCCTTGTCAGGTGTTTCGATAACTTTGTACCTACGCATTGTCGACCGTCATTCAGGTTCCAAATACACAGTTGCTCCTCGATGCCCCCACGTTCTCCTGAACTTCGGCCAACCAATGCCCGGGGACGAATCATTCTCAACTGTGTGCTGGTACCACCGTCGATTCGGTGCCTCTGCTCGCAAGTGCACTCGCCTGTGCTCCTGGTTGATGAGAAATGCGACGACCGGCCACTAACGCAAGCAAGCGGTACTGGTCGAAAATCATGCCGCCTTTTCTATGTTTCTGATAAGATCACTGGTGCTTGCTTCCTTGTCAACACAGAAGTCCAGGTTAGCGTCATCCCAGCCACATGTGCAGATCGCTGTCGCAACGAACAGACCTGCCCACTCCAAGCGATCAACAATTCCGCCATTCGCACATATGGCCAACGTTCTATTACACTTGACCTTGGACTACGCCGTACGTTCCGCTGGATTTTCATCTTCGCTGACATCTCGAAGGCTGTTCTTGGAGCTGACTTCGTCAGTTTTTTTCAACCGGTGCCGATTGTCATCGCCATCGTTGAAGAGCTCGAATGTGCCTAGTCGACCAAGCGGAGCCGTCGCAAAAGCGAGCGAGCCTGCCAGTACTTCTCAGAGTATGTGAATGCAGCGCCGCCGCTCTGTGAGCTAAGAGGCGCAAGGCAGGTGTGGTGGCGCTAGCGTCGGATTAAGCTGTATTTTCCACGCTGATGTGGCTGAGTGATAGCACTGACACTACTGGCACACCGACTTGCCGTTCTTTCTCTGGGCATTGCTTGTGTTCTTGTGTCGCGAGCGCTGTTAGCGTGGCTAGCGCTGTGTCGCGTTGCTGTCTGCCATGGCACTCAGCGAAGAGCGAAAAAAATATCTTCAGGTGTTCTTGAAGCAGTATACGACAGAGTTCGGTTGTGTTATCGCCTCGCGGAAAGGTGAGCACTATGCGTTCTGCACCATCTGTAAGTGCGACATCAGTATATCTCACGGCGGCAGGACTGACGTGGTTGCGCACGTTTCGTCGAAGAAGCACACCAACAACGTTCAGTGCCAGGAGAAACAGCATCTAATGCAACAATTCTTCGGTAAGCAAGACGGCGACCATGATGTGATACGTGCGGAATGTTTGTTTACCGCTTTTCTGCTTGAGCACAGCATTCCGTTGAGTGTCTCGAATCACGTGGGACCCTTGCTGCGGAAGATGTTTCCAAAATGCGATGTTGCGAAGCGCTACGGCTGTGCTAGAACTAAGACTACTATGATTGTCGGCGAAATGGCAGGCCATCCACAAGAGTGTGTGGTGAGTGCCTTGAAAAGACGAGTTTTTGCGGTTGCCACTGACGGCTCGAACGACAGCCAGGCACACCTGTACACCCCATCGTGGCCACCTTCTTTGCGGAAAAATCGGGCCTTATCGAGAGCAAACTGCTTACTTTAACCACCCTGGAAGGCCCTTCAACGGGGCACAACATCGCCAAGTTAATTATGGACAGTTTTGCATCGTCGAATGTGCCATTGTCTAATTGCAAAGCTTTTTGCTGTGACAATGCCAATGTGATGATGGGCAATAAGAATGGCGTAGCGGCAGCGCTAACTGAGGCCCTTGAAAGCATTGTGAAAGTTGGATGCCCATGCCATTTAATAAACATTGCGGCTGAAAAGGCAGCTTCTTGTCTCCCAGCGAAGGTGGACGAAGTCCTTGTGGACATTTTTTATTATTTAGAAAGAAGTGCTAAAAGAAAACGTTCGCTTAAAGAGTTTCACGAACTGCACAATAAAGAGTTTCGCAAGATTCTAAAGCATGTTCAAACCAGGTGGCTTTCGCTGGGAAAATGCCTGGAAAGGCTCCTATATCAGTGGGCACCGCTCTTGAGTTTTTTCCTTCAAGAATTCAAAAGAGATGGCACTACAGGGTCCCGATTTCTGACCTACTACGACATTCCCAAAATGCCAGCACAAACTGAAGACACTGAGCAGCACCAGTTCAGACAGAAGAGAAAGAAGTCTGTTGAAGCAACACCTGTGCCTGTGAAAAAAGTTAAGGCTACTGATGTGTGCAAGACTGGATCAACTTGCACAACACGTGAGGAACGACTGTTCGTGTTCTTGAGCTCGGAGCTTAGCAAAGCTTGCTGTCTGTTTTTAAATAACATTATTCCTGCTTTTAAGACAGTCAACTGCCGCCTGCAAGCACAGGCGACCCTAATACACAACCTACAGCCTATATCTCTAAACCTTCTTGAGGACATCCTTTCAAGGTTTGTGAGGCCAGCACTGCTAAAGCAGTACAGTGACATCTGTTCGATAGACTACCAGAGCAGAAATGTGCAAAAGGATGACCAAGACTTGGTAATTGGACACCAAGCTAAGTGTGTTGTTGAAAAGCTCAAGCCAAGTGACAAAAAGGAATTTTTTGAGGCTGTTAGAAGGTACATACATGGTTGCTACATGCGACTACATGCGCCTCAAATTTCCTTTTAGAAATGAGACTTTGATCAATGCACGTGTTGCTGATATTGGAGCTATGGATAACATGTCATTTGAGAATGTCCTTTTCTTTGTTGAGCGGTTTCCAGCGTTATTGCCACAAAACGAGCAAGAGACCAGAGATCAAGCTATTAATGCACTGGAAATGGAATTTGTGAAGATGCAGTCTTTCAAAATTCCTACAAATATACTGGAAGAGGAACAGGCTGATGTGCACTGAGAAAAATCTCACTGCTGAAAGGCGAAGATGGACTTATGAAATTCAGTCTCATTGCTCAAGTGATGCTGGGAATCCTTTCAGTACCGCACAGCAATGCTGAATGCGAGCGGCAGTTCAGCATTGTGAGGAAGACTCGAACAGAGTTCCGCGCTTCCATGTCAGACAAGACACTTGGGCAACTACTTCAGGCCAAATGTCATAGCCGCGAGTCGTGTTATTCACAGGTATATTCTGAGGAGTTTTCGAAGAGGGCCAAATCTTCCACAATAAAATTGGGCAGTAATGTAACTGCGAGTGACACAGCTTGGACTGTTCTTTGAGTGACAGCTTGGACTAGCATGCCGCTAAAGTTGGACTCCACGTGCAGTTTCTCCGTGCAAAAAAAAAAACATTCTTTTGGCAAAGTGTTGGAGTGGCAGCGGTGAACATTGTTATGCCCGACAGTGCTCGAAGGACTTCTCGAAAAAGGTGGCTTCAGCCACGTCTAAGATTTGGTGGTGGTGACCACAGCGGGGTAGGTTATTATCGATTTACAAAAACTATACCATTATTGTGCCATGATAACTCCATAAAAATTCAATCTTGAGAAAAAGCGTGTGAAAAATTCCATCCCCCGTGACACCCCCCCCCCCCCCCCCCCCCGATTGCACCTCTATAATGCCTGCGCTGCCAACCTGGCAGGTATGTATTTGCCTACCTTGATGACCTCCTTGTAGTAAGCTCATCCGGCCCTGAGCATGAGCCCACCTGCGCACCCTGTTCCACTGCCTGGATGATTACGGCCTTGTAATTAATCCCAATAAGTGCTTCTTCGGCGTCGCTACAATAGAGTTCCTAGGCCACCTTGTCACTCCAAAGGGTATCCACCCACTCGACAGCAAAGTGAAACCTATTCAAGACTTTCCACTCCCGACTTCACTAAAGGGACTCCGAGAATTTCTGGGCCTACTAAACTTCCATCGCCGCTTTCTTCCAAAGTGTGCCACATTTCTAAAGCCCTTGACTGACCTATTAGCTAAACAGAAAGACCCGGCTGCACCACTAGAGTGGACTGAGGACGCTGCATCTGCCTTCGACACTACTAAGAAGGCTCTGGCAGATGCCACCATGCTCATACATCACGTCCCTGATGCCCCAATTCGTCTCATCACCGAAGCATCAAGCGTGGCAGTTGGCGCCATTCTCGAGCAGCATGTATCCGGTTGGCAGCCCCTTGGTTTTTTCTCGCAAAAACTGAAGCCACCGGAAGCAAAATACAGTATATTTGCCTGAGAACTCCTCGCGATATACCTTGTCATCAAACAAATTCGTCATTTATTGGAGGGCCGGGACTTTTACATCGTTACAGACCACAAGCCCCTGACATTTGCCTTCCATTGCAATCACAGCAATTATACTGCAAGGGAGGTCCATCAGCTATGCTTTATTTCCGAGTTCACTGTGGATCTCAGACACGTACATGCGCAGGAAAATGCTGACGCTGATGCGCTATCCCGCAGCGATTCCTTGTCGACCCAGCCACCACTAGACATGGAAGAGCTAGCAGCTGCCCAAAGCAACGATCTTGAGCTGCATCGTCTTCGTTCTTCATCCACGTCTCTATCTTTCACTGAGTGCCTGCTTCTATTTTCTACCTCAATAATAACATGTGAAATGTCTACTGGTGTCCCTTGGCCCTTCATGCCTTCAGCTTTTCGTCGTGCAATTTTTGATCAATTGCACAACATGAGTCATCCTGGTATTCGTGCGACCCAGAAGCTAGTCACATCTCGTTTTCTTTGGCCAAGCATCAATGCTGATGTCCGACGCTGGGCGCAAACCTGCCTTAAGTGCCAGAGGGTTAAAGTTCACCGTCACACAGTCACGGCAACGTCCCCCTTTCGGCCTCCAGATGCAAGGTTTTCCCACATTCATCTCGACATCGTCGGCCCTCTTCCGCCATCGCAAGGAGCCTGTTACCTGCTGACGTGTGGATCGCTTCACCAGGTGGCCAGAAGCGTTTCCAATTCCTGACATTACAGCACCAACAGTTGCCAAGGCTCTCACAAACGGCTAGGTGTCGCGCTTTAGATGCCCTTCTGTCGTCACCACTGATCACGGTCGTCAATTTCAATCGGCCCTTTTCACCGCACTTGCCAATATTCTGGGCACTCGACACATCCACACAACTGCCTACCATACTTCCGCCAATGGCATGGTCGAACGGCTTCATTGACAACTGAAAGCTGCCCTCACTGGTCACCAGCCAAGGGAACGTTGGCTCGACCGCCTCCCCTTCGTACTTCTGGGCATCTGATTAGCATTGAAAGTGGATCTCGGCTGCTCATCAGCCGGACTAGTCTATGGCGTTTCCCTGCGTCTTCCAGGAGAATTCGTTGAGCCATCATCGCCAACTTCCACTCACGATGCCTCCACGTACATTCGAGAGCTGCGCACCACGTTTCGGGACCTTGCTCCTGTGATTCCTGTCGACCGACACCCACAGTCTGTCTTTGCAGCCAGGATCTGCATGACTGCAGTCAAGTCTTCGTTCGGTGTGACCAAATACAGCCATCACTGACACCAGCCTATGATGGCCCATTCCGCGTACTTAATCATACACCTAAAACGTTCACGCTGGACATCAATGGTCGTGAAGACTTTGTGGCTGCTGATCGACTGAAACCTGCGTATATCACTGCTCTTGCGGCCGCGTGGTTTCAATCTTCAGTCTGGATGTCTACATCCAAGCATGTCCACTGGGCGACTCCTCTGGTGACTCCTACAGCTCTCGCTCTACGGGGGAGAGCCCTGTAGTGCCTCAGAATGCGGCACTCTACAAGGAAGAAGTTGGCATTGGGGGTGCGGCGAGTGCAGCGCGATAGTTAAAAAATCAGTTCGAAAACTGAACGTTGTCAGCGCTGACACATCTGTCCTCTCCACGTTGGAACCAGCGTTTTCAGTCAGCAGTAGGCTTTTGTGTAAAGTGAATTTTAAGTTCGAAGTGAATAGTGATATTGCTCAGACTGACTCTAATAGTATGCAAATTAGTTCTGCGAAGACCGGCAAGGTGGCAGAAGGGTTAAGAAAGGAAAAATATTGGCCACAAGGATTTCTGGGAAAGAAAAGCCTCTTAGTAGTTGAAAAGTTCGTCTTGGCTTGGGGATCGAACCTGGGACCAACGCCTTTTTGGCGAGTTACTTTACCAAGTGAGCTTACCAAGAAGCTAGGCAATTGGCAGCGTGAGGGTGAATACATTGACAACACGAAGCACGTGGACACACGTAATGCAGAGCAGTTCTGCAAAGACCCGCTAGGCGGTAGAAGGGTCAAGTACAGTCAAACCTCGTTAGTGGGCACGCGCTTTAAGTGTACAAACGATTAAGATGTAGTTGCAACGAATACTCGACCGAGTCTCGTAGAGGCTAATGCATTCACGGATCGCTTACGTCATAGTGTTCGACTTATGACTACCGGTTAGCGCTTACTAACTGGGTACTGCGATAACATTTCGCGCCACAAAACTTTACTGCGTCGCTGAACTTGCAGGCGTCACAATTTTCCGTGAATGGTTTTCCGTCGTGTCGTTAAGTGCAGAGATGACATTGCGAGTAATCATTCGGGAAGAAACGAAGGCGAGGTGGTGACCACCGATAAATGCGCCGATATGACTTATCGCCGACGAAAAGCCTTATCACAGTAAGCATCCCTGGTTATCCGCTCCGGCACGCATGTGGCATAGCGCCATGTTTAGCCTACTGCACGCCTTTAGTGGGCGACTACCTGAAACGTTGGGTTGCCGATCACTGCCGCTTGGTTGTGCGGGAACGTGTCCCAGTGCGCACTGCTTCACAGAAACTCAAGCAGCTCGCTGTGGTGGAGTTCATCGTTGCAAGTCGCGGGCACCAAGAAACTTTGCTGCATTTTGCCAACACGCGCACCGTACAGCAAGTGTAGCACTGTTGTAACATGCTGCACGCTTTTATTCAGTGACTGCCCAAACGCGTCTTCGTCCATTGCCAGAACTGCTAGAGCATCGCGGAGAGCGCATTGCTTGGTGAAAGCTCTTCGTCGCCACACTAGGCTACTCACCGCATCTGTGCATAGCCTGAAGCGGAGAGGGCATACTCTACGGACAGCGGATCGGCAGTTACTGTGTGCGCCGAGTGAGCGAAGCGCTGCATGCAACTAGCCATGCAGTAAACTATTTGGCTCTCTGCGACCGTACTACGTTTAAAAAGAGAAAACTGCGTCTGTTTTCGCTTAGAAGCAGAACGTGGAACAATGATAGACAGCTAGTTGTGTTCGTTCTCTCGCTATACCACGCTGCATATCCCGTAACCCGCAGTAGTTCCAAAATGCTCATCAGCGTTGCCACCGCGTGTTATCGGGCGGTTGTGCGAGAGTTAGAAACTTTTCTGCGGTTTGGCGAAGAGAAAACAAATGGCTTTGCGGTGGGCACTTTGGGCATATATCCCGAATTTCTTCCTTTGTTGGCGGTGATGGCGCATGGCAGGAGATGCAAATTTGTAGCTGGTGGTTAATGCACAGTGCGTTTAGTGGGTAGTTATGCTGCCGTCCCCGGCAGGTATGTTTTATTTGGGTTTCACTGTAAGGAAAAATAGACAACGAACTGTTTGTGGCACGAAGCTGCAAGGATTTCTGTAAAAGAAAAGCCTCTTAGTACAGTCAAGTCTCAATAATTCGAACACGCTTAAATCGAACTTTGGTTAATTAGAACTCATGCTAAGGTCCTGTCAAAGCTATGTGTATTCCAACAAGCGAAAACGCCCTGTAATTCGTATGCACAAGCATTTGCGGCGGTTAATTCGAACATCTGCACTCCGAAAATGCTCTCAGCACCACGCCCAATCCCGCGGCGGCACCTCCGACACTTCAACGCTGCGAGCAAAAAAAAGAGAAAAAGGCTGCAGTAGAATGTTTGCTCTCTCTCTCAAATGCTGATCTGCGAAGCGCCTGTGTCACGCTTCTCCTTTTTTCGTTCCTGCCACGTAAAGACTCTCTCTCACGTGCCGGCGCAACGTTTCCCCCTTTCTCATCCACAAGGCAATGCAACGTAGCGGTACTAATGAGTGGCAGCTGAAGCAACCCAGCCTCGCTACTTTCTACGCGGAAAAAAGAAAAACTGTCTCGTGCTCAACCAAAACATGTGCCTGTGGAAAACGAGACATGCTTCACTGCAATGCAGTGGTGGTACGCGGGCAACATATCGCATGTTTCTCTCAACGTCAGCGGGTTATGGTTTACTCATTCTTCGTGAGATTGTAAAGAAATTAACAAAGAATAGTTTAATGGAATTCACGATGTATGCGAACTCCGATTGGCAGTTACTCCAGCAATTTGCGCCTTTGCATTGCTGGCGGAGTTCTTGCCAGCACCATCTACTTCGAAAACAAAGTGCCAAAGTTCCAAAGATAATTTTTTCCAGCCAAAAAACATGGCGAGTTTTGTCATACTGACCATTAATAAATTCTTAATTGTACCAGAAAGAATGTGTGAATGGTTGCATCATGACGTGCAGACCCTGTGAGGAGCCCTGCCGCGGTGGTCTAGTGGCTAAAGTACTCGGCTACTGACCCGCAGGTCGCGGGATCGAATCCCGGCTGCGGTGGCTGCATTTCCGATGGATGCAGAAATGTTGTAGGCCCGTGTGCTCAGATTTGGGCGCTCGTTAAAGAAGCTTTGCGGAGCCCTCCACTACGGCGTCTTTCATAATCATATGGTGGTTTTGGGACGTTAAACTCCACATATCTATCTATCTGACCCAGTGAGGAGCAGGTGACATGCTGCCCTAGGGTTGTTGCAGTGAAGACGTCTTCCTTTCCGCAGGCGCACATTTTAGTTGGTCACGACGGCATTTTTTCTTTTTTTTTTTTTCGGTGGCAGCAGCGAGGCCTGTTGTTTCCCCATATTTGTGGCAAAATTAAGGCCAAGTATTGCTGGAAAACATAACCTTTGGAGCCGCAAGCTAGCCGGCACAGCAAACGACAAGCGCTGATTACTTTGAACAGTTCTAAGTTCCTTGCATCCCACTTTTTGTATGTTCTGTTAATTCGAAAATCTGCTTAATTCGAAGATTTCTCGCAGCTCCAGTGACTTTGGATTAACGAGGTTTTACTGTAGTATGCACGAACCGGTAGGCTTAAACTGAACACTATGACTTAAGCTGTCCGCGAATGCAGTTATCTCTATGAGACTTGGTCAGGGATTCATTGCAACTACATTTTAACGGTTAGTGCACTTAAAGTGGGTACGTACTAACGAGGTTTGACTGTATTGACGTTTCTGGGCGCCATCTCGGACAACGAGCAACTTCATCAGTGCAGATAACAACGTAGCTGTTTCTGACTGCATCGATTCATAGATTACAGCTGATGTTGCCAGTGCCATGGAAGTCTACACGTGCGGTTGTGAACATGCCAACATCGTTGCTGGGGCCACCTACCAAACTTCTGCTTGCATTGGCGTTCTGTGTCAACTTAGAAAGCTTCAGTGATTTTCAGGGTAACTGTAACTTCATGGCACGCAAAAAGCAAGACAAGTTTATGGACTATTTTATGCAATATGAAGTGTGATAACTTGCAAAAGAAGTTCACACCGTGTGCTTTTTCTTTACTGGGAGCGAATCGTTGTGTCGGCGCTTGTTATGATTTCATAAAACTGTCTAATGGCCTGAAATGCTTCAAACCATTGAGGACCAGTGTACTTTACAAAGAACACTTTCTTATTTGGGAATAAAAAATACATTACACTATATTGTGATCTTATTCATTGGAATTTTGGATGCCAAGGATTGCAGCAAGACAGTGCTAACTTGACATATTGACTCTGTTCTATGAGTGATTGAACTTGAAGAAAGTGAGAGCTCGTCAAATGGATGTGGTCAGTACTTGTTTTTCTAAGCTTTCAGGTTTCACAATTTATATGTTGAAAAAACGGATTGCTTGGGCTTCAGCAAGAACAGAATAATCCCCGCACAACGCAAGTATATAGTCGCCGACTGATTTGGTAGACCTGGCAGGGACCGCGAAGTAGTAAGAAAAATCAGACTGTTAAAAAAAAATGATCAAGCCATGAAAGTAAAGTTTATTTGGATTAGAAAAGCCAAAGAAAGACCCAGTACTGCTATGTTTCATGCTGTTCTTGGGGACGAGGAAACTCGGTTCTATTGGGGCTACGGTCACATCTTTGGCAAGCGCGTTGGCAATCGCTGCCGCCGACCATTGCGGGCGGCAAAGTTGGTGGCTCCATGGAACTAAGCTAACGAAACTTGATGACGGTTGCAAAAAAATGCATGCAACGTCTCACCTGTTCGGTGGGATTTAACAACACGGTCTAGGCTTCTTTTAGCTGCACCGCACAGTTCATAAGCCTCCAGCATTTGGCGCTGTCAAAATGCTAGCCGAGCACCGTGTTCACCAGATTGCTACAGAGAAATCGCAAACAGCCGTGCACATGTGACCCACACGACAACTCGCACACCTGGTGCGCGCAACGACAACCAGAAAATAATAGCAACTTACTGGCGTATTAATGGTGATAATAAAGCTGACTGAAAAAGAAACGTTTTTGCCGTTTTGCTAGCCATGGAAGATTAGACATGGCCTCCGAAACTGGAATATTGTGCGCGCTTCCAATATTGCAGGCCACATAACTAGCCATCGGAAGCCAAATTTGACCAAGCCAAGAAGAAATTCAACATAGTGGCTTTCAAAATCAAACTGTGTAGCTCAAAGCAAGCAATTTAATCTGGAAAATTGAACCTTGAAAAATAAATTCTTCCGAAAAATCGAACGTAAAAATGCATTAGCACAATGGGAACTTTGGCAGTGCATTTGGGAAGTCT